CGGGCCTCCCTGTGGAGAGTGTAATTCAGAGAAGAAAGGAGAGGATGCGGGCCAGCCGGCAGGACGCTGGGTGGACGTGGACAAGGACAGGGCGCCTGAGCTGAGAGCTGAGATGTCATTTGATCCCGGGAAGGCGGGGCTTGCAGGAGACCAGGTGTGGACGGTGAGAAGAGGTGGCCAGGCCCAGGACAGCCTGGCAGCGAGTGTGAGCAGGTGTGAGCGTGTCCCCAAGCTGCTGTTGGAGGCCTGCCGGGCAGGGCGGGGCAGGGCCCAGCCTGCGGAGAGGACAGACGAAGGGGCCCACGGGCATGTATGTGTGAGGAGAGCCCCGCAGGGGGGCAGGTCACCGGGGGACAGGGGGTCCCCGCAGCCCTCACTTCCCTCCCAGCATTGACCAGAGACCTGGAGAGACCAGAGCCCTTTGGGGAGAGATGGTGCAGGCAGGAGGAACAGCGAGTGCAAAGGCCCTGGGGCAGCGTGGAGGCCAGCATGGATGGGGGCAGGAGCGGGGAGAGCTGGGGGAGGGGGCCCGGCCTTGTACTGGCAGGGCTGAGGTGGGACTTGGCCTTTTACGGTGAGTGCCATGGAAGTCCCGACGCCTCCTCCGGCCTCACGTTCATTCTTCAAGGCCCTGTGGCCCCTGTGGGGAGAGTGGACAGAGCGGGGTCAGGCGGCTGCTGGCCTGGTCCGGCCGGAGTAGGGTAGCAGGGCTGGGTCTGCACGGTCCGGGTTTGTGGCCAACTGAAGTCACTGGGGGAGGAGCAGGGATTTATGGTTTCTGAGACTGGGTTGGGGGGTGGGGGTCAGAATTGGGGATGCCTTTTCCACGCCTTGGGGCAGTAGGGGGCGCTGTGGCGGGTGCTGCGGGCGCTTTCTGACTTTGAGGCTCTGGGGTCTGCAGGCTGGACAGAGTTGGAATGTCGGTCGACCAAGGGCAAGGGTGGCCTTAAGCCCTGACCACCATTTGGTTTCTGGCCTTGGAGTCACCAGAAGCCTGTGGCTGGGTGTCCGAGCGTCTGCTCCTGTAGGGTCGCTCCAACGTCCCCCTGGGAGCGATGTCACGCTCTGCCTCCCGGCCGCCCCCACCAGGGCCCTCCGTCTGATTCCTGCTCTGTGAAGCCCAGGCGAACGGAGCCGGGCCGGCTCCCGTGCTCTGGGCTGAAGGATGACCAGGTACCGCCTGCATCGTCCTGTTTGAGGGGTCCCTCCGGTGCCCGCCATGAGCGGCCCCTGCAAACAGCCCGCCGCTGCTTTGCAAACGAAGGGACTGGGCCACGGAGAGTTTAAGTCGCTGGCCCAGCCGGTGGCTGGAGCTGGAGGCTTGGTGGGTCCCAGTCCGCTGCTGTGCTTGTGAGCAGCCGGCGGCGTGGCCACCCCCAGCCTGAGGGGCCCCCTCCCTGTGGGATGCTCCCTGCCTCTTGCCACGTTGGCACCTCCGCAGGCTGCTATTATGGCTCCGGGTCAGCAGAGCCGGCGTGGTGCGGCCGCTTGCATTTGCAGGCTGCCCACTCCGCAGCGGGCGCAGTCCTCCCGGGGGGACCCGCTGCTCCTCTGTGAGCACTTTGGTGCGGGTGCACCCCAGCTTCCTGACGGGACCCCCTTCCTGGGAGGCTGGGCCTCCTGACCGCCTCCAGGGAACGGCCTGTGCTCATCCACTCTGCTCTCCACCGCGGTGGGGGAACACAGCGGCCAGCTCTGTGGTTTCCTCATAACCGCACCCCCAAAAGGCCCCAGGCCCCCGGGCAGGAGGGCAGACACACACTGGACACTGGGTTCCGGGAGCAGAGTGCGGCGCCCAGCTGGACGGACGGTGGCCTGGTGGGGACGTAGGGATGGAGGCTGTGCAAAAACAGGTTCTAGGAGGGCCCCAGAGGCCAGGCTGGGGACCACTATGCAGCTCCGGGCACAGGCGGGGGGGGGGGGGGGTGAATTGAGCCCCCCCTTCTCCTGTTCTCAGAGGAGAAAGCTGGAAGCCGGCCTGATGGCCCGCAGGCGCAGGCTGTGCCGAGGGAGCGGCTCTGGGTGCAGGCCTGCTTGTGCCGGGAGCGGGAGTCCAGGAGCAGACGGAACTGGGGCCGGCCCTCCTGCACCCCGTGAGGCCCTGCGAGGAAGCTGGGAGCCGGCATGTGCTCCCTGGCGGAAGTGGGGCGACTGCAAACAGGAAACCTGGCAAAGTGGTTGAACTTGAAACAGACTGAAACTGTGTCTGGGTTACACCCGGGCAGTGAACGCACTCAGACTCCGAGGGGTCTTGTAGGGTTGGGGCTGGGAGCCGTGTGTGTGTGTGTGTGTGTGTGTATGTGCGTGTGTATGTGTGTGTGTATGTGTGTCTGGTGTGTGTGTGTGTGTGGTGTATTGTGTGTATGTGGGTGTGGTGTATGTGTGCGTATGTGTATATGTGTGCATATGTGTGTGTATGTGTGTATGTGTGTGGTGGTTGTATGTGTGTGCATGTGTGTGTGTGGTGTATTGTGTGTATGTGGGTGTGGTGTATGTGTGCGTATGTGTATATGTGTGCATATGTGTGTGTATGTGTGTATGTGTGTGGTGGTTGTATGTGTGTGCATGTGTGTGTGTGGTGTATTGTGTGTATGTGGGTGTGGTGTATGTGTGCGTATGTGTATATGTGTGCATATGTGTGTGTATGTGTGTATGTGTGTGGTGGTTGTATGTGTGTGCATGTGTGTGTGTGGTGTATTGTGTGTATGTGTGTGTGTATGTGTGTCTGGTGTGTGTGTGTGTGTGGTGTATTGTGTGTGTGTGTGTGTGTGTGTGTGTATGTGGGGTGGGGGCATGGGCACTGCCCTGGCTCCACTGGGACGCCTGGCAGGTGGCTAGCTCCTCGGGCAGGTTGTGGCTGTGTATGAAGTGTGTCCCCAGACGTGGGCAGCCACAGAGCCTGAGGGACGGGCCAGGCCAGTGGGTTCCTGAGCTGCTTCCTCCAAGGTCACGTGACTTAGCGGCTGGCGGAGAAACTGCCATTGTCCTGCATGGCTCCAAGGTGAACTGCCACTTGTTGCTCTAAAATAGGTCAGCAGCACTGTCTTAAAGGGCCAGACAGCAAATAGTTCAGGGTTTGTGGGTCACCGCTTCTCAGCTCCGCTGTTT